CGTGACTTGAGATTTCTTGTCACGCATGAATGGCTTTGGACCATATTGGCCACCTATAACAAATGAAGCCAGTTGCCTGCAAAGGAGTCCTGTAATGGCCAGGCTGGTGGTGACATTGTGACATCCAAGTGAAATCTATATGGCCAGCCTAAAGCCACCAGGAAGGGAACCCGCCCAGCTCTTAACGCAAGGAACGCTCACGGCCAAACAAGAGTCTCCTCTCAACCTCTTTTACAGTGAAATCTTCACCCTATTGGACTTTTGTGACATGCTACATGATGTATTCATCGAATAATTGATTTGACAGTCCTTTAGGACTCCAATAAAACAGTTCATATACAATTGAATATATTTGATATGCGTAGAATCTTTGGGTGATCCAACACCTCTAATTAGCGATCCATGGCAAGATCGATGCTTGGGGTGACCTCACCATGGAGGCCTCTGGCCGTTACGCGGTCTCGGTGCTGGGCATTGGGCGCTTGTTGCTCAAGCGGGAGGCGTTGGTCCTACCCAAGCAGCTTGGCGGAATATAGGTGTGAGATGGTGTGAGTGCGTGGGTGGCTGGCTGGCTGGCTGGGTGGGTGGGTGGGTGGGTAATTCAGCTAAAAGTTGAATTAGCGACAATGACAAAGATTCAGAAAATTAACAATGCGTTCTCTGAGAGTTTGTACTTACTGGCTGTAGTGTCTTTTTAATCCAGGCTCTTTCAGTGGCTGCGGGAGCCTGCGGACTAGTGGCTAGTGAGGGCTAGTGGATTGGCTGTAGGTGACAGTGAGGGGTTATAGCCAGCAGTACACAACTTACAAGTGAAATGGACCTCCACTATGATTGGCCTTAGAGTCCCAATAAACCCCTGAATTTGAACCGCACCGTGCGAATCACTGCAAAGGAGCCCGCAGGAGCCACCTGCCCGGTGGCGTCCAGGGCTGCGATGAAGGCGCGGCGTGGAAGCGAAACAGATCTTCCAGAGCACTTGCTTGCTGAATCGAGTTGAAGACTGAAGGCCGGATTGTATTGGCGTGTTTTATGTATGTATGAATGAAACATGATAGCTTTAGGATCTGGAATTAGGTGGAGAATGGCAAGAGCACTGAAGCTTCAGCTTTATTCATCACCAGAGTCAGGGATCTTGGAACTATAGCTTTACAGTGTTAAGGCCACAAGTTCCTGAGGGACGAAAAAAGAAGGAACCACCTTTTATGATTTTTGAGTGCAAGTGTGTACTGCAGCATCACGAATGACATGTCCCTGGTGGAAGGAGGTCCTTCTGAGCTCATGGTCTGGTCGCGCCTGGGTGTTCCTGTCTCTTGACCACTCACGGTCTCGGGGTTCACCCCCAAATCGGCTCCAAACTGGCTCGGGACGAGAGGCTTCCCCGCACCACGACTCCGTGGCAGGTCTCACAGATGGTCCAGATGACAGTCTCACCAGGCAGTGCTCATGGGTCCGCCATCGGGCATGGCGGGGTGTTTCCAAGGTTGGGAAGACCGGTTGTTCTACTGGAAGCTTTGCAAAAGTGGGACTTTGCTTGGGAAAAACTTGGGTGGCCAGTGGCCAACCTGAGTAAAGTAGTGAATACATATAAACATACATCCATACACCCATAATTGCATTCATGCATTCACGCATCCATCCATCCATCCATCCATCCATCCATCCATCCATCCATGCATCAATCTGTAGGGCCTAGATGTCATCCCTGGTGGGGGCCTATTGAGGGCCACCATGAAGCCATTGGTGACAAGCTTCCATCCTGGGACTTCGATCCTTTCTTCAAGTTGTACAGATGAAGGAGCTTTAATGTTCATCATGGATGTGTTATTCGAACATAGTTGGAAACGCAGGAGTTCAACAAATGCATGACTGACCCTATCCCAGACAAGCATGGATCTTTCAAACGGTTGAAATGTTGCAAGATTTGGGCAGATGATTGCAAACGTTAGGAGCAGAGCGTTTATACTCAAGCCGATTGATAAACAGTGAAGCCCCGCAGCAAGACTAAGGAATTCAGGGTGCCTCAACACGACACTGAACAGGTGCTGCTTGTGCTTCTTCTTCACATCAATATTTTGGGGGGTCGTAGGACCTTTCCCTTCACGGACACCCTGCTGTTGTACCACGCGGCCTCAGGTCCAGCAGCCTAGACCGCCTTAGGAGTGCCAGGAATGACCTGCCGCAGAGCAGAGGAGCATCCCTGAGTCGGACGTGATGCTTAATCTGTGATATCCACATGCTGCAGATAGACAGGTCCATTCGCCTTCAAAACTCAATATCTACTCACTCAGCAGAGGACTTGTTTGTTGATCCTGTGCCATCGAACACAAGTCATTAAATACCCATATAGTGTTTTTTTGTGCCAGGGTAGGGCAACCTCCTTGTCAAGCTTGTCATAGGGCACCCTTCGATGAACAGTTTCAGAGCATTGAGGACAAAGTCGCAGAACTTAATTAGGTATATGGGTGTGCATGAAAATAGGGAGACCACCCAAAGACCTCCTGGAAGAAGGAAAGTAGACAAACACACATTGGTTGGGTGTCCCCCCTATTGAAATGCACACCCATTTGTTTCTTGTCGGAGAAACAGGTTGTGGCCGTGGACTTGGAACATGGAACAAGCCCGACGCTATCAGAATCACCAGGTTACTACCACCTTTGTTGTTCTACATAGTTCTTTTCAATATAGTTTTGGGAATCCAATTGGCAGGCATTGTGCAGGATTCACAAATTCCGACTTGTGATAGGAGTCATAGTATTCAACTAAGTCCCTTGCAAAGATATTGAGCCCACCCCCCAAGCAACAAAATTTGATTCACAGCCAGTTGCTCGCAGTTGCAGGTTGTAATACCAGATCAATATGACAAATGACAGCCAGGTCTTGCAATCCTTTATTTGTGCGTCCTGTGCCGTTTCTAGACTCTTGATGTTGACCAGGAAAACAACAAATTTGCTTTGAAATGACCATCGCCTCAGGAGTTTTTGCTCCTTTGCCAAGCACCCCCGTTTCCAAGGAGGAAGGGGGGCCCAGTCCATAATTGCGGCCAGTTTCAACTGCGGAGGGGGCGTAGCCAGTCTTCCGGAAGGATGGAATTACATGTCTTTTGATCCCAACCAACTCCAGCGGAAATTGCCCTCTACTGGCTCTTGAATATGCTAAGTGCGTTCGCTTCTCCAAAGTGTTACTTTGCATACCTTTACACGTTTATCCAACAATTACGCATCTATACGGTTGTTGGACTAACTTTAAAATGGCTGCCATGTCAGCTGTCCCAGACATGTCCTATGAGGGACATGTCATTTGGCATGCCAAAACACCCAGCATTTCCCGATGACGGGTGACATCGCCCCAGTGTCCAACGACCAGCTTTGGACGGACCCGCTGATCAACGTTTCACCCCTGATCGCTCAGGCGTTGGTGCTGGGAGGGTGCTGTAGGTCGAGTTGAAGAGCAGAGACCTCGCCTTGATTGGCTATTGAGCTGTCAGTCATACTCTGGACCCACACAACCTTCGTTTAGCTTGACCATTGGTGGCAGTTCATTCTGTATCAAGGTGATCATTCTCGGGTCCCTGGGGGTCACCCTATATATATACAAATAACGACTATACTATAACTATATATTTTACAAGTTGTCGTACTCTCCCACTCACTAACCTGGAAGGGGATGGCACTCCCCATGTTTATGGAACGGTCTTCGGCCGATTTTCCACTTCCATGTTAGTGACGTCGGAGCGTATAGTGCGAACGTGCTCGACCAACTCAGAGGACTCTCTGACCTTTGGGCGAACCCAAAAAGGTTCGTTTTGGAGCACTCCGTATGAGGAAGTTCTTAAGAGTTTGGATGGGCGATAGTTCGATTCTAAACACGCACAGATGTGTTTGGAACATCCTCGACTCAAATGTGTTTGGAAGATCCGTGATGCATCGACGGTTTTTCGATCAAGGGACTGTGGCCGTTTGAGATCACAACCCTGTCGATCTTGGAGAAATTAATGGTATAGCGGCCGTCCCAGTAAACCAGTCTAGCCGTCGGTACAAGATGATCACACTCTGTCTTTGGAAGTTCGGTGGGCCCACAGCCTGGGCCGGGATGCCCTCAGAATTGGATATACCCAATGTATATGCTAGAGAAGGTAGTCCTATGGCTTTGTGACATTCATCTGGAGAAGCTAGAAATGATTTTCAATAGATTGAATAGACACTCCTTTGTCGCAAACAAAAATGAAGATGGGCCTCACTATAGACATGACTGTAGAATGCTGTTTGGAGCCTCCTGCCTCCTTTTGGTGGCATGATGTTCTTTGCTCAGCTCGGCGATGCAGCTCCTTTGTAATCCAATTTTGGATGTATCTCAACCCGCAGTGCCGTCAGGTTGAGTAGTATTTCAAGATAGTACCCACATAACAGTTGCTATTTGAGTTTTATGTGGATGGGACCAACATGGAAGCCTTTTAAGCACGCAAAACTTGCAACGAGAAAGGCATTGCATGGCATTCGCCGTCGGAGAAATCAAGTCTCTACACAGCGTAACAATGCAAGACGTAGCAGCGAAGAAAAAGTCCACTTGTGGGTGTCAAAGGAGGTGGAGCACTCTCAGAGAGGCCATGTGAGTTTTGCTGCCAGTTGTTGAGCCACACCCGAATCAGTACAGATCAGCCGTGGGACATCCTGGGACTCAGCAGAGAAGCGAAACAACTTTCCTTCCTGGACTGAAAGTGCCGCCCTACTGCACGGTGTCTCATCGCTGAGGGCTTGGTTCGGAATCCTTGGAGCAATTTGAAGGTATGGCCAAAACGAGGGGGATCAGTTCGGCTTTTTCTCACATGGAAGACTATACAGCCAGGATGAACCAGGGGAACATCCACGGATTCCCGTCAAACTCATGTGCTAGGACGCTAGGAAGCTATTTCTTGGGGTCATAGCAAGATCGTTGTAGGGATCTTAAACTCTTCCATGTATCAGAAAACCAGCTACATGTCACAGACAAAATCCTTACTGGAGGTGATGAGCCCAAGGAGCAGAAGAGCCGAGGACCTTTGGCCGGACAGCCAGGGCGACCCAGAAATCCAAACGATGTTTGAGAGAATGTTCCGATTAAAAATAAACGTTCCATATGCATGTGTTTGTTTTTTTTGTGTGTGCGTGTGTGTCGGCATTTGAACATGTACTTTCTTCATGCATTCTTCATTTTTATAAAATATATATCTAATTATAGGATATATAGATATAGGATGATATAGGCTATAGATCCTTCACCCATTCTTGCATGGGGACGAGGGATTCCCGTCACTTCCTGAACAATGTGTCATGTGGCATCTCCGCAAGAAGGCACATGAGGAGTCCATCTATGCAGCATGCTTGTGCACACAATAGCTTGCAAACGCCAAAATCACATCGGAGACTGAGAAGAGCAGCACTCCCCAAACAAATCAAGACGGTGGGGTTGGGCGGCTCAGGCCGTTGTTTTTCAAGGGCAACCGCGCCAACATCAAAGAGGAAGATGTGAAGCTCGAGCCGTCTGAGGCGCCGAAGATGTGGGCAGGAATTGATATGGTGTGAGGCATGAGAAAGACACACATATATAGGCAGTTTTGGGCATATGTGTTTTTTTTGCAGGACATGTTTGCAAACCTGAAGCTGGTAGCCCAAAGACAAGCAACTGGCCTCGAGCTATTTCGACCTTGTCGGGAGGGGGATGAATCCACATGTGGCGCGGTTTGTACGCCCTTGGAAGATCAACAATGGAAACCACTGGTTTGTGGAGGGCCCGCTTGTCTTGCAAAGGTCCATGCCATCCATGCCATGAGGTTCCATGTGGGTCCCTTCCCGTGGCCCTGTGCCTGTTGGGTCGCACATGAAGTTTCCCGACAGTTCAAATGCCAAAACGTCCACCGGCACGGGTTGAGGCCAACATGGATCAACGAATCGAACGCACCTTTTCAATCGGTTCCGGTTGATTGAGAAGCAGCAAAGCAGCCGAAGCCGACACTTCTCAATGAAGTGATTTGCAAGGAATCATGGAAGGACGTCAATTAAAGTATCTCTCTCCATCCTGATGTTTGCGCTAGTCACACATTGGAAGTTTGATGGAAGCAGATCCTTTGACAATCACAGAGAACTAGCAGGAAGTGTCGGATATGAGCATATCCAAGCCGATCTCCAGGTATACCAGGAGCGTATCTACCGCCCCATGCTAGCCGTTTGAGCTCCTACCAATGCGGCCTTTTTGCGACACTGGGACCCCAAAGCCTAATGTTCGATTCCTTTGTGTCTTGTGTAGCATTCAGGTGGTGTCAAAGCCTACTGTATGTCGTTTTGGTTCCATTATGAGAGCTGGTGTAGCATGGTGTAACATCCTGAGCTTTGGAGCAAAATGGGGCAGGGGTTGAGTTCTGCTGGATGTTCCATGATGTTCCTAGATCCTCGCTGAGCAGAACCTCACTGCGGGTCATTCCCTGCACCTGCTAGGAGCAATCAAGGGTCAAGACACGCGACAACAAGGACTTACAGCAACTGGGCTAAGTTGTGCCGACTGCCTTGCAGCGCGCCCACGACGTGAGGGCGTCAACATCAGGTCAATGTGAACTCATTGTAGACTCTTGACCAGCATAAAACCATATATAAAACCCATCCATTTGAAGGAAAACAACGGTCTTCATATGGGGGCTTTGATGAATCAAGAGTCTACATTACTTTCGTTTCGGTCGGTGTGGAAGCTGTTGTTGCACAGAACTTCCGCACTGAGCTGTCGGCGGAGCTCTAGCTGCTCGTCGGGTGCACCAGTCCATCATGTCTAAAATGACCATGACTTGTCCTTGGAATGGCGGCTGTTGTTCAATGGCGTAACTAGTTCTATATTGCTTGTACTATTGCTTGTTTATAAAACTCTATAGAAGTCCCTATAGACTATTGTAGACGGTATATCTATCTCTATCTCTATCTCTATCTCTCTATCTATCTATCTATCTATCTATCTATCTATCTCTATATATATATATATTTGTCGCCCGCAGCATGTCTTGTTTTTCATTGACATTTGGAAGAACGTTGCCCACTTGTCAAGACATGATTTGAACATCAAAGTTCTGGGAAGAACATGCGCCCTCATGCACCTTGCCCCACAAATTAAGCTGCAATCTGAGTGTTGCCATATATTGTATTCAGGATGCTACTGGAGGACATGCAATTCAAAACCCATGTCGAGGGACGATGGTCTTTCCAAACGCAGATGCCTTTGAGCTCGCGTGGCACATCCGAGGTACCAAAACATCACCGACAAAGTCATGACCAAGAACGAGTTGCCGCCTCAGAAGACCGGCACCAATGGTGAAAGCGATCATCAGTTGGGTGATCAGTATACAGTATACAGTATACATGGATGAGTATGGATTGGATGGGTATGATTGGAGCAGTTTCGCAGCAACATGTTCTTAACAGTATGTTTAGTTTTATTCAACAGTCCACCTTCATGGTGGCTGATTGGTAGTTGGCAGATGTAGGCATTGGTGTGTTCTCAGGCACATAGCTCCCCGCCCACTGATCAATCCAAGGAGTTCTAGAACAACTATGAACAACTAATGAGTTACTGGGTTTGATTGTCGACAGGTGCATCAGATTTTGAGCTACCAGCTCTCAACTTACCAGTACCACGTTTTTTGTGGTGTTTCAGGTTGACGGTAATTGGTCAACATATGCAAGGGTTGGGCGCATTGGGCTTGGTTCAAGAATTACATTGATAGATTTGCAGATCCCACGGCACCAGGATTGAGGAGAAAATCAAGGCTGAAGCAGAGATCGACGCCTACGAAGAAGGCAACAGAGAGTTCTGGACGCAGCCTGTGAGACAGCCAGGGCAGAGTGGAGACACTTTCATGTTGGCATTGGGCAAGACACTAGCAAAGGGTCGGTTTGTAGAGGAAGCTATTCCAAATCATCCCTATAAAGTATCCGGCCTATCCTATTGCAAATTGGTATAGGGTTTCACTGGTGCAAAACACGCGCGTCAAACCAAGACGAGATTCCGGTCGGAGAGTGCTACACTCATGCGACACACTCATGCACCCCACTGGCAGGGAAGTTGGAGAGAGACTGGTACATGGCCTGAAGCCCAGTGAAACCTTCCTTTGTTAGACCTTTTCGATGATGTTCGATGACTTTCTCGCAGCATGCGAAGAAAGATCATCCTTTATATAAGTGTCCTTTCATGGCCCGGTCGCCTTCCGACTATTCAACTATTCAAATGAAGGGTTCGACCTGGGCTTGCGGCGTATCTAGTTGTTTTGGTAGACGAGCCAGTAAATTTATGTAAATTCACGGTGGGCACATCATCCAACATCTTACAGATAAGCCTGTACCCTCGCGTCTTTGGCCACCATGTCTTTGGCAAAACATGAACCTTGCGACTTCAGCGCAGCGGGGCCCCACCAAACCAGACACTTCAAGGCTGAAGAAGGAGGTGCCGCGCAGGGCATGGACGAGATGGATCCCCAGCGCGAGGCACTGCTCGGAACGGTGAACGGCACCGCATGGCATGGCGTCACTCGGCGCATCGAAGTCGTGAAAGGCAGCGCGGTCAGAATTGGAAGCCCGAGGTGAGGGGCTTCCGTTGTTTGAACGTTGAGGCGATGAGGAGTAGACCATGGGCCAGGGGTGGTGGATATCTTGGTTCCAATCATGGCAGGAAAGATGTAGTGGGTTCATTCACATGTTTCATTGGAACGTATGAGCTGCGCTGACACAACAGGAAGCCATAGGAAGTCTAGTCTAGTTTCTTCGGGGAGTGCATGGGCCAGGACGTGCGGAGAGGGATACGGAATGGAGCAAAAACACATCCGGACTGCGATCGGTCATCGTCTCCTGAGGTCAGCTGTTGGAACTGTGGTGTTTTGTTTCCATACGGCATTGCCCTGGACCAGGCGGAGAGGGAAGAAAAGAAGAAGAGGCAGCTCGCGCAGGCGAGCTCCCCCACCTTCGTGTGATTCGATATGTGATTCGGTGTGATACGAAGGTCAGATATGATGTCCCGGCAGCTTGCTCTGATGATTGTAATGAAAGTTTCAACTCTTGGTCTCCTGTCACCTGGACAAAAGATGGATCTCTTCAGTGTTCTCTCCCAAGGTGGCGCGGGTGAACATTCGCCAGCAAATGAAGAACGAAGCCAATGAGATGTGGGAACTCAACAGGCGCGGAACGTCCGCACGTCCACGTGAGAACCAAGTCCAAAAGGTTCAAATTATGGGTGCATATCTGGGGCATGTGTAGGCCAAATAGATCCAAATAGTGCAAGCACAGACCTGGAGGCTCTGAACTGTGGCTAAGACCTTCCCTTGTGAAACTCTTTCAGTCTCCAGCCACCTAGATAGCAAGCTGACCGAAACTCCTGTTCAAAGGCCAGCTGGCTTTTTAAGGAAAAGATAGGAAACAAGAAGCACCAGCCTCCGCTGTCTCCACTGCTCCCTCACTCCCTCCGCTCGCTCCATGCTCTGAGAGCCTCCAGCCTCCAGGTTGGAAGCCATGGGCTTGGCGGAGCGGAAGGAGGTGAAGTTGGACTTCTCCAAGGAGGCGCTGTCCGTCGACGTCGAACGGCCTGAACAACGGCCGACTCTGCGAGAATCGGATGGTTATATGTAAAAATATATAGAGCCGAGGAATGAAGTGGCAATGAATTGAACCAAGTCATGCCCAGTACTGGTTCGGAGCTCAGCGTCATTGCTTCAGTGCCTTTAGGAGTCTCTAGGACCTTGTTGAAGCTAGAAGTCTCTCCCAGCCCAGTCGGGCGATTTGGCTGCTCCAGGATGAAGAGAAGCGTTCAGCCCTCAGTGCATCGAGATCGAAGGTGCGTAAAGTCATCATGGTGTCAAGCCGCCGGTGAGACAACTTTTTGTGGGACAGTCATGAACATGTTTGGTCAGATATGATTTGGTTGACACGTGTTTCCTTTATTGTTTAAACAGATATGCCAGAGATGTTGTTTGGTCCTCAGGTTTTTACCAGGCCAAGTAGATGAGCAGAGTTTGGCTCCACTGAGGTGTGGCAGTGGTGGCAGTGGCCCCAGCGCGGCGATCACGCCAGGTGTTTTCCTCCCAAACGCCGCACGCTGCGTGCCACCTGTGAATGTGTGGACACCAGTGGACCATGGTGAGAACACTCCCCACGTATTATACCAAGAAACTCAGTGACCCTTTTTGGGGGTCGCACAACACCCAAAAGCTATGTCCTATCAAAACAGAGGTCAGATATGGTCAATTAGAACTTACAACATGTACAAAACCTTGCAACCGGGTGTTCCATGGACACCCTGGTATATCACCTCGCTAAAGGACTATAATTAGACACTGCTTAGAACCTGGTATATGGTGTTTTGGCCATGGAACGTCCACTTTTCGGGAAGAAGCCACCCAGGACGCTCTTCGGCCGCCGGCTTTCACGGCGGGGAAGGTCCGGGAGACGACGCCGCCCTTCTTGGACGGACGGAAAGTCTTTACCACGCAGACGGAGGCAGTGCAGGGAGGCCCAGCGAGTCCCAGTGGCTCAGAGGTTTTCGGGTGGGTGATGGGCGGATTCCTCTTGGTATAGCTGAGACGGTCGGTGAGACCGTCATGTAGGGCTCGTCGTCTCCGGTCGTCGCATGGGTCGGAGCGATCGACTCTCCACCTTCGTCTCCTCGAGCGGGAGCACCTCGCCCAGGAGCGCTGTGAAGGACCCCACCTCGGACATGGCCGTTTTCTGCAAGCAGGGCTCCAAGGTGGTGGGGTGCCCTGGAAGTCTCCACGAGCGTTGCAAAAGGGGGGCCGAAGGCGGCCAAAGGGTCGAGGGCCTCGAGGGAGTTGGAATGAGGTGGACAGGACCCATGGCTTGAACATGCTTGCAAATTAATTCATGCGGTTTGATTGCATATACGGGATCCCTCATGTTTATATTATACCTTTTGGTGGGCGGTTGATTGGGCTTCGTATGGTTTTAGATCAGTGGTGTGAAGTTATATGAGTTCATCAAAGCGCCTGGGTTAAGTGGCATATGGCATATACATTACATCATACAATAGAGAAGAGTTTTATGTTGTGCAGGTTTGCTTGCCAAGCGAGTGCCCTGCCCACCTTTACACACCCAAATAAGCACATGTTAGAACAATTGAATTTGATCGGGCAGATCCAACATCTTCCAACACACAGATCTCGTTTTGCTCCTTTCCCTTCGGAAGTGTCGGACGCCCGCCCATCCATCACATCGAAGGGGTGCATTTGACTTGTGAAATGTTAATCACCTCAACCAGGCAGCATCAATCGAATCAATATAATATATATATATATATAAAGTATATATTGGTACTACACATCAATAACAGGATTGGACAATAATTGGCAAGAGTATGTGAACATTTTTGGTATATTATATAATTAATTGATTATCCTGGCTCTCCAAAGTGACCGTTTGAGATTCCGGGTTGAGGTCACTCAAGCCTCTTCACTTGGGACCCTCAAAAGGTCACTTTGAAGAAGCTGGATATAGAGCATATCGTATATTACCTTATTTGGTCTTATTCACACATGTTATGTCAGACCCCTTTGCCACAGACCCCTTTCATCTAAAATACTCTAAACACCTCTAAAATTTTAGAGTGGAAAAACTACTGTGGCAAAGGGGTCTGGCATGGAGTCTTTCAGAGCTGACACGAGTCACTTGTTGGACGTTTTGATGGTCTTTTTTGACCGAAGAAACTTTCTCAGCTGAAATTTTAGAGCGGCAAATGTGAGATGCGCAGGGATGAATCTGGAAAACAATCTCACTCTAAACCACTCTAAAATTTTAGAGTGGGTTGCACTCTGATTACCGTTGCACTAACATGGCATTGGAAAGCAACCTATCTCTAAACTTCTCTAAACCACTCTAAAATTTTAGAGTGGTGGTCTGTGGAAGGGGGTCTGTGGTCCAGAATTAGCTTGGGGAAAGCTATCCAAAGGCTACATAAGGGTTTTCCTATGGATACTATCAGTCAGCTGACTCTAAACCACTCTAAACCTCTCTAAACCACTCTAATCCACTCTAAAATTTTAGAGTGGTGGTCTGTAGAAGGGGGTCTGTGGTCCAGAATTAGCTTGGGGAAAGCTATCCAAAAAGGTTACATAAGGATTTTCCTATGGATACCATCATTCAGCTGACTCTAAACCACTCTAAACCTCTCTAAAGTTTTAGAGTGGCTTAGAGTGGTTTAGAGATAGGTTGCTTTCCAAAGCCATGTTAGTGCAACGGTAATCAGAGTGCAACCCACTCTAAAATTTTAGAGTGGTTTAGAGTGAGATTGTTTTCCAGATTCATCCCTGCGCATCTCACATTTGCCACTCCAAAATTTTAGAGTGTCTTACATCTGCCATTTTAGAATTTAGTGACATCGTGCTCACAGCCCAGCATGAATCACTTCATCACTGTTTTGACGTATTGTACATCCTCTAAAATTTTAGATAGCCTTAGAGACCTTAAGAGTAGAATTTTAATGTTCCTTTTTAGAATTGTTGTTTTAGAGTGTTTTAGAGTGGTTTAGAGTGCTTTAGAGTGTTTTAGAGTGGCTTAGAGTGGTTTAGAGTGTTTTAGAGTGGTTTTAGATAAGTTTAGATTGACATCTAAAAATTTAGAGGAAAGGGGTCTGTGGGAAAGGGGTCTGAGGCAGCACGTGTGACTTATGTTATATCAATTACTATTTGTGTTGTTCAATTTCATTGCATGATGGGATCATGTTATCACGAAAGCTAGCATGCTAGCTGAGTTCTTCTTTGCTTTAGCAATGTTGTGGTGGGAGGGGCTGCGTGCCTTAAAGATTGATATATCAAGCTAACCCCCCCCCCCGCCGTTCAACTCCCAGCTGCGCCGTGTAGGGGGTTGGTTGAACGTGTGAACGTGGTTGGTTGGGTGTAACGGTGGCTTGGTGTAAAGGGTGCTGCTGCTGCTGCCGCTCTGCTTCTTGCTGCTGCCGCTGGTTGCCGCTTTTGTAGCTGCTGCTTTGCTACTTGTTGCGGCTTGGTGCTGCTGCTGCTGTTGCTGACGACGCCGCTGCTACTGCTGCTTGCTGCTTGCTGCTGCTGCTTGCTGCTTGCTGCCGGTGGTGCTTGCTGCCGGTGGTGCTGCTGCTGCTGCGGCTTGATGCTGCGCTGCTGCTGCGTGGTGCTGCTGGCTGGCTGCTGGTTGGTGGTTGCTGCTGGCTGCTGGCTGCAGGCGGCTGCTGCTGCTGCTGCTGCTGCTGCTGGCTGCTGCTTGCTGCATAGGACTTGTACTTCACCGTTACAAGTTGTTTACCCCTATTTCTAACCTAATGCATGCATAAGCGGGTGGTAAATTTACCCCCCCAGGCTTGCTATAACCATACACCGGCTATTTCCTCAAGACACTCTATTCTTGATACCTTTTACCAGTGCTTATCCTACACTACGGACGCCCTAGTGTATGCACAGTCCTTGTGATGCTTACCCCTCGTTCCGGCTCAAGGCATACATAAGCGGGGGGTAAATTTACCCCCCAGATTTGCCATAACCATAAGCCGGCTATTTCCTCAAGAACACTCTACTCTTTCTACCTTTCACCCGTGCTTATCCTACACTACGGACGCCCTAGTGTATGCACAGTCCTTGTGATGCCAGAAATGCTTACCCCTCTTTCCAGCGCAAGGCATACATAAGCGGGGGGTAAATTTACCCCCCAGATTTGCGATAACCATACACCGGCTATTTCCTCAAGACACTCTATTCCATATACCTTTTACCCGTGCTTCTCCTACACTACGGACGCCCTAGTGTATGTACAGTCCGTATGATGTCAGAAATGCTTACCCCTCTTTCCGACTCAAGGCATACAAAAGCGGAGGGTAAATTTACCCCCCAGATTTGCCGATCACGCATCTTCGTGCCTGCCAACGAGTGCACCCGGGTTGTTCCAATGTACCCTTCCCAGTCAGCGATGTCACATTTACATTCTTTAGCGCAAAGTATGTACATAGCAACCTTCCTACCAAAACATGTCATCCCTACATGCTTTGCCGACTATGTAACTAGTACATCCGGTGCGATTCGGCTAGCTTTCGACCTCTCCCCCTGGCCTCAAGTGGTATATGTTAGTTTATTTTCCCCATATATTTGTTGCATCTCACAGGACTGCGTCCAGAGTCCAGAGACTTCTATTCCCAGAGACTTCCGCTTTGCGTCCTATCAGGTGCGACAGGTGCGTGAAGAGTCGGATCAGGGCAAGTGAGGCACTCAGAAAAGACGGCTCACTTTTTAAACAAAAGTAATCGTAGACTGGTGGAATCTAGTGGATATATACTGTAAATATAAATATACATACAAAAAAAAATATATATTTAACATCCTGGGACATTATTGAATGGCACATTTTGAAGCTCAAAATTTGTTTGGTTGGTTTCTCCTGATGGGAAACCGACACAGGATACAGTATAGACACGGGAATTGTGCTACAGTGAGGTTTCGGCAGCGCTTCTGGGAGCTCTCAGGCAAGGCTGTTTCGGGAACCATCGGCCTGCATGCGGTGAACATGAAATGCTAGCTGTGTTTTTTCACAAGGAGTTTTCGACTGAGTTGGTGGTGTTTATCCAGAACTTGGGTTCAGCTTGAGTTCGAGAGAGATGTTGAGTACATCAGAGGAACATGTGTTTGACATCAAAAGAGTACCAAAAGACTACTTAGGAGATCAATTGCACAGACTGCTAAGACGCTATTACTACCTACTGGGCAGGAGGTTTCCATGGCCAAGCTTTTCAGGTAAGAGCGGACCTTGTAGGGGGTAGATATAGGTGATGCGAAGCTTGCTATGGGCTGTTTGAGGTGGTACAGTGGTGCATTTCTTAATTTTCAGTGTTCATTACTTAGAGTCTAGATAGGGCACTCTGAAGTGCAAAGGCCAAATCTTGGGTGATAATCGTGGAGGAGCTGCCCTAGCAATGCTCATCCTGTGCATTTCCCGGACTTGATGTTTTGGGTTGGCTTGTTGGTCCACAACCAAGAAGCTTGAACACTCGATCAACCAAAGGCTGTCCCGAACAATGCCAGTTGGATGCACGCGTTTGCACCTCACCACAGACATCCGAAGGGACTCGCGACCGAGTTCGGTGCCTGTCCAAGTCGGTGCTGTCAGGCTCCAAGATGGGCAACATCATGGGCGTGAACAAGCGCCTTGAATGACAGGGGAGTGTCAGGTACCTTTGACCGACATGGTCTTGGAGGTGCAAATGCTTCAAACGATATGTCTTTGGGCCAAAGGATCCGATGGTCCTGGGCCCTTGATCAGGGTCCCAGATTCTGGCAGATTTGGATGTGGATATGCAGAACGGATGGAACTCCCCCGCCCCCGCAGACATAACTGGGGGAGCTCTCATAAACCAAGAATCTTGGACGTTGCTCAAAGAGACACCGTGGTTCAAAGATTGATTTATGCCATCCGATTGCTTCTGCTGCTGAAGTGACGGTCTTTTGTCTTTTGTTTTGTTCCCTACAGTGCCACCACATCTTAGCATTTGGCCCATGCAGTACCTATCGTATCCGTCTTGCCCAGGAAGACGGACAATGACAAGAAGGACGATGATGTGTCCGACGACGAGTTCGACCACAAGGTTTCATATCCAGTTGGTGGTCCTGTGTGCAATGATCTGCCACGGATTCCTTTTAAACTTAGGACACTTCGTAGTCAACTTGGTGCTTCAGGAGGGAGCCAAGGAGCTATAGGGAGTGCCCCAACCCCTTGGTAGTATTGGCATTGTGATGCATCGTGCGTAATTCATCGTGTGTAATTCATGAGTGGAACACCACTTTGGACGTTGCTACGGGATCGTGGCTATTCGATGCTGATGCTGTGCAGCCGGACTGTTTCACACAGCTTTGTTCTGTCTTCCAACATAAGGCTATGTTTTGCCCAAAATAAGGCTAAGTCAGCAAGGCCTTCATCATTATAGGGAACATCATGGGTATTTATACTGCTTTGAGATGTCGATGTTGGCGCTTTCACCATGACATGGGTGTGTCCCATGCTTTGATGATGGCTCAATGTTTCCTGTTATCCCAGAATTGGTTCAAGGGAACATCCGCAGGACACCCATATTTGGGAGAGTGAAAACCATGATTTCCTGTAGCTTGTCTCTTTCACCCACCCACCCATTGATGTGATCTCGTTCTGCGGAGGCCAGCAATCAGTACGGCCAAGCCCTGAAGAAGCAGAAGACCGAGGCCAAAGAAGGATTCTGATGAAAGTATAGCTCTTTCACGGCCACAGAGGCCCCCACAAACAGTCTGGCCATGGTTTGAAAAGCAACATCCGACATTATCCGATAAAACATAACTGGGTTGAGGACGGAGTTTGGACGGATGATGGTAAGACTTGGGCACTTGTGGCTAACTATAAAGCTGTTGGTCAATTTTCCTCGGTGGAACAGGCCGGCTTTTGTAAGGAGTTCATAGTTTTGCCACCCATGGCCCTTTATCACCCTGGCAAAGGATTTATGCAAAGCAGTTGTTTGATTGTTGTTTTATCTCTTTGGTGGATACCACACGAATCATGCTAGATCATTCTAGACACGTCACAGGCATTTGCTCCACCAATACTCTTAGCTCCATTGCGGCTTTCCCACCAAGCCGAGCTGTGGTTCCAAGCTTCGCGCCAGTGCGCCTGTCACGACACGGCAAGGCCCAATCGGAGTTCGCGAAGACCAGGAGTATCAAGCAGCAGAGGGAGAGTCTTCCAGCAAGGACCTCAAGCGAAAAGGTCACCACGCAGATGTTTGCTGGTACCCTTCTCAGAGCTAGATAATCTTAAATCATGTTGGTGTGAGTGGGAGGTACCCCATACATCCCCATACCCTTTTGGATCCTTTTGGTGAAACTGAAGTTGCTAGTTTTCGGCACGGGGAGTCCCGCAGGAAACATGTCTTTTGAAGACCCTAACAGCCTGTCGAAGGGCATCCACAGCCTCAACCAAACCCCGCGTCGTGTTTCACGACACGTGCACGGTCGGAAGACCGGAGACGCCGAAACCTGCGGGAAAAGCCTGCGGAAGACCGGAAAGGCCGCCTCCTGGCAGTCCAGGGCCTTGCTAACTATGCACATGGGTTTGTATCATATGCGGAGGGTCCAGGAGTGAAAAAGCAAACTCGCTTGAGAGACGTCGCCATGCAAAGAGCCTCACAACCAGCAGCGAGCAAGGTGTATCAAGTCCGGTCCGACCTCATTGACCTCTTGCGCGAGCACAACGACCAGCCGGCCTGTTAGATGCCGGGAGAGATGGGCGGCGTGCGGCTTGAAGCATTCATTATATCATTGATCCATGGAGTATCATGGAGTGTATGGGTGGCTGGCTGTGTCCCATAGTTGATGCATGACGGGAAAGGGAAGAATGAAGCACGCTTACACTGAGGTGGCATAAATTGACGGTTCTCATCCAGAAACAGCAGGTAGGGTGAAGAGTTCGCATGACCTGAGACCAACGATCATCCGTGGCCCTTTTTCACCAGGGCTCTGGGCTACGAACGCGCCGCGAGCATTCGCAATCATGGCCTTCCGATTGACCTACCGGCGGCAGTGCCGCTACAACACCAAGTCCAACAAGCAGCGGGCCACTTGAAGCAATGCGCGGTGCTTGCTTTTGATTCGAGGAACTCTTCCGAGAGATAAGGGATGGGAATGGGAACACTTCATAGTCATTTTTTGGGCTAAACCATATTATATACATGTTCTTTCGAGTTGGGACTGGCACTGGGCCTGGGACTTGTACCCACTCGGAACCTAGTGTCGCCAATTAGATCCAATTATATAGCATCAATTAGCACTGTTCATCCATGCTTGTTTGTTTGTTTATTCTTGTTTGCATTCGGTCATGATGATGAATATCGGCATGACTAGAACTTCTTTTCGGCCAAGCTCCATGACATCGTTCCTTTTCGAGCCACGCTGAGAGACCTGAACGCTCGTCTCCGTGTGAGATGTTTGTCTCAGGTGGTGAAGACTCCCGGAGGCAAAGCCGTCTTTCAGGCGACGAGGGTCTGGTCGAGGGTCTGGTGGGCGTTCGATGCCGAAAGCGCCGAACTCGTTGCGGGACAGCTCGGACAAAAGTGGTGCAGTGGAATCAAAGTGGATGGTATCTGGGGAGATCGATGCCCTCGTGCGGAAATGGATGGCACCGATATGTGTTCTTCCTTTGTTGGGACATCTGGTTACCTGGGATCGTTTTCCTTTGGACTTTTGGTCAGTTCATGCCAATGTCCCAGTCCCTTCATTACCTTCACTTGAGGCGAAGTTGACTCACTGACATGGAACTGGTACATTGGCCCCTTCAATGACGATTTTCCTTTAAAGAACAGGGCGTGCCATCAATCCACTTCCATGTGTTATAAAACCCGTTCACGCGTTTACCCTTACCCCAGCGCCGACGCCACAACCGACCTACGCGATCAGAGAGGTGGTCAAGAAGAAGGCCAAGGGCCCTCACTGCGGCGATTGCGGGAAGGCGCTCATTGGACTGCCACGCTTGCGTCCCGTGGAATACGCCAGGCGTCGGTGACCGTTTGGGAGGGGTTTGATCGGTGACGTTTGCATTGAGTGGCCGAAGATGCCATCAGGATCCATAGTTTATAAGTCTTATAAACCTCAAGAACCTGTGGTGAGACTCCCAAACCAAAACCTCAAAACCTGAACACAATGAAATTGACCCTGAATGCCACGAAATGGCCTTAAGACCCATGTTTAGGTTGGTGGGAGTGGGCAGGCAGGCTGTTGGTTTGACGCAGGGTCATTGTTTAGTGTCATTTGGCAGGCTGAAGAAGCGCGAGAAGCGGGTGAACCGCGCCTACGGTGGCTCCCGTTGCGCCCACTGCGTGCGTCAGCGCATTGTGCGGGCCTTCTTGATTGAGGAGATCTGCCGGATGGTTTCCGTCAATTTTGTTGCGAAAGCATGGGAGGGATTGCGGTATATAGTGATGCTGAACAGTCTCCAGTATGCAGCTTCAGCCGGAAACCCATGAAACCCGGGCGGATGATCTTTGAGGAGCAGAAATGCGTGAAGCAAGTCCTTGCAGAGAAGCTATCGCAAGCCAAGGACGACTCACGTGAGCAGAGGTGAGATGGAACTCGAAACCGTAACCAAGAAGCTACGGCTAGGGGCGCTCCTGGGCATACTAGGAGCAAGGTTCGCTACTAGGAACAAAGGGCATCGCCACGAACGGAGCAAGGACGCTACTAAGGCATCGCTCCTGGCATTACTAAGTAACCAAGTTGAAGTACTCGAATCTCAAAGACCAAATCCTCAGCCTCAGCCAGACATGTTTGTCATCTCATTTGTTGCCACACCCAAAGGCAGACAGGGGGGCCAGGGGGGCATAAATCATATATATATATATTATATATATGAATGGCTAGCAGTGAAAGCAGGCTTGACAGGTCTCCTCTTCCCGATAAGTCACAAGGAATGGCTAAGTAGTTAGTTAGGAACTACTCAGAATTGCAAAAACATGATAAAACATGCACATCCTCGTCCAATCATATAATCCAGTTAAAGGGTGCATGGTCCAGTCTAGGGCTTTCAGCAGTCGCTCTGCAGTTTCCAAGCCTCTACTTCAGACTCTTCAGGAGAAGGACGGCAAGAAGGCCAAGAAGTGACGATCAGAGCCCTCGGTGTGACGTAAAAAGCTTGTTGCGCGTGGATCTGCGCAGGGCAGAGGACAGAGTCAACTGAGTCAACTGAGTTGAAGGAAGATGAGCATTGGTACTGTATCACCTGGAGCTCCTGAAAGCTGGAAATACCCTGGGGATCCCTGGGGTGTTTCTTCACCAACCGTCATTAACCGCTTTCATCCAGCTTGACGGATCCCTTCTCGAATGGCTTCCCCTGTTTTAAGGAAGATATATGCTTTGCATCCCTGTCGCAGTCACATGGAAGCTGCCATTGCAGCTTGCCAGTTTCAGAAAATTGTCCTCCATCATTTGGGGCGAGTCAGGGAGGGAGGAGACGTGTGAGCATTCGGTCCGCCAGGTCTTGGTTTGTGTGGGCGAGACCGGGTCGGGCAAGACCACGCAGCTCACACAGTGAGCTCATGCGTCGCGGCGTACGTGCCACGTCGGTGTTCGTCGACATTGTTGGCTAGAAGAAGTGGTGCAATGTGCTTTGGGACCTGGTGGGAGCATGTAGGATTGGATTTGGAACAACGCAGGGGTCACAAGTATAACTCGATTTGTCATTGGTGTCATGTGTTTAGTTTTAACATGTTTTTAATCACCAATCGCAGGGAAAAAGGCGACGGTTGAGGAACTCGTGCAAAGTGTTCCAGACGGAAGTGGGTCACCCAAGTGTCCCACTACCGCCCAGGTACCTTCATGAGGCCGGCTACTCCGTCAATGGGCAGATCGGATGTACTCAGCCCCGGCGTGTGGCCGCTGTGCACGGGCACCCGGAATCCCCAGACAGATGTGAAGGACCGGAGCACCCGAATCCCCTGTCCACATCGAATCCCTGAAGACCGGAGTGTTGGAAGCCAACCTGAAGACCTGTCCTGGCATCCCACGAAGATTCCACAAAGGTCTTTAGTAGTTTAGTAGACTCTACAATAAGGAGGTTTTGGCATGCATTTGAACTCTGAGAGAAAGCGAGGTCGGTGGCCAAGCGCGTCGCAGATGAGATGGGCTGTGAACTGGGTACCAAGGCCTGGGACCTGCACGAGGGGGGGGGGTTGGGGGTTTGATTCGGACTCCACACCAGGCCTCCAGGCCTCCGTGGCCTGCGCACTGGGGACGGAGGACGGTGGCTGCCGCAGGGCTCCAACCCAACTGTTCTGAAAGGTGAGGTAATGAAAGGTGTAGGGACAGTGTGGACGTTCCGTTCCGGTTGAAGGATCGAATATGTTCTACCTGGAACCAACACCCTGTTCATGATCCATTGCTCAAAAGTGATTCCACCTGATAGATATTAATATATAACAAATTGAAATCTCCTTATTTCTACTGCACTGGTCCCACTAGTAAGTTAGTTATAATCCCTAATCATATACTGCATGGTTGTAATTCTTACTGGTCACCATCCATGTCGCTGGTCACGAGGTGTCGTCCACTTCAGTGTAATTGTGCATAACGCAGTATATTTCTTTGTTTATCACGTTGTGTTGGCTAATTTGGCTAAAATCATACTATAAAACTTAACCCCGCCGAAACAACAAACATCACAGATAACCTGCACATGCACAAACATGGTGGAAAAAACATCGCCCAGAATCCTCCAGTTCGGTTCCAATTCGACTCATGCCTTCGCCGCGCTGCTAGGTGGGCTACTCAATCCGCTTTGAGGACGCTTGCCAGCGGGGAGACGAGACACTCGCCAGCGGGGACTTCTTTTTGGTGCCTCTTCTGGGAATGGTGAAGGTAACATACCCACAGGATGTGTTGGTGCAATGTCACTCTACAGTTAAATCGAGCAATTCGGTTGATTTCTGAAACAACTGAGAGCACAGTGGTGTACAACTTGCCATCGGTTGTGAAGTCATTGCAGGCAAATCCCAGTTTTTGCTTGCAGGTGCTTTGGAACCGCTTTGTCAACAATGGTAGGTGGGCAACTTGCAAACCTCCTTTGGAATAAACCGATCGATCGATAAATAAATGAATCAACGAATCCATCCGTCTATTATCCATTCACATCCATTCACCAATCTATCCATGAATCAAACAATCCCGCATGATGCATTCATGTTGTGCTGTTTATACCACAAATCTATCATATTTGTTCTATATCATGTATCAAGTTTGGATTTTATCCATGATCACTTGCTGATTCGGGTTTTGCTAGGACTGCACCAGTGAGTCCACCATCATCAAGTGATCCGAACACGCGTCGCCGCGGATCGGCGCCCGTTCCGATGGAGACCGGGTCCGGGACTGGTCGAGGTCGGAGCGCTACGGCCGATAGGTTCGAACTCGTGTTCTAGGTATTGCGACGGGTTCCGGGATGGTTCTACAAAAGGGGTTCTTAGATGATTCGACATCATTAAGACGTGCACGCTTCTTTTTGTATGAACTCTTTAGTGGAAGTGAAAGGGGGCGGTGTCCGGTGTGGACTTAAAAGGATGTTGGGCTGTCGGGGTTTCAGTCTTTGATGTACTGGATTCACCTGGCAAAGATGGAAAGAAGCACCCCGTCGTCGTTTGGGTTTCCACGTCGTCGCCAGATCTCGCCCTATCTCGCCCTCCAGTGGCAGCCGCTCGCGTCGCGCAGCCACGCAGCTGTGAACACCGTGAGGTACATGACGGATGGCGTGCTCCTTCGTGAGACGCTCTTCGAGCCCGACCTGGATCGCTACTGCGCCGCTCAGCGGTAGAAAACGCGCGACGGTTGGAAAGGAAGGATCATTCTGAAGGGGCAGAATGCCCGAGGTTCAGCTTTGATTCACCCAATTGCTTTCCTTTTTCTTTTGATTTCCTGTGGGTTTAGCAAATACAGCTTGAACAGACAAGTGAGCCAATGTCGGCTATCGGCTCATTATATTAGAAGAAGGCTGTTGCGTGGTAACTTGTTCTTAATGTTAGTGCATGCTATTGATATTATTGTACATTCGTACAATATCTATAGATATTGTATATATATATATGTTTTAGCTGCCCACATATGCCCGACCAAAGCCAACTGCGACGCAATGCAACGCATATGATAAGTACGTTCAACATAAATACAAATCATTGCCCATGGCGAGTTTATACTGCATGTATAATTGCTTGCACACCCATCACACAGCATAGTTGTATGAAGCCACAAGTTTTCATGTGAATGTGTCATTGAATGCGCCTTCTCCCTCACTTATGCAAGCAACATTGTAATCCCATTAAATTTACATCAAATTACGCCTGGTTATATACAGTACCTATTCAATACATAAAATTACATAAATTACCTATTAAACTTATATTTAAATAGGTCTATCCAATTTCCAGACCAGGCGGGACATCTCATGTGCGCTTCACCGCCGTGCTTCGAGGCGGTGATCATGGACGAAGCCCACGAGCGCTCGCTGAACACCGACGTGCTCTTCGGCGTGCCGTGGACGATGAAAAGGGGGGCCGACATGGGCCGATGAATTGAAGGGTGCTTAGTAGTAAGGAATGGCTGATATGACTGGATCCTGAGGCATCTGCAGGGGTGGGTATAATTTTTCCTCCATTGCCCACCACTGAGTCGCACGAGTCTGTGAATTTCAGGGTGGGTGTGGCCAGGTCGAATTGCTTCGGTGCGTTCCGGTCGATGATTTGAAGAAGTTGTACCTGGCCTGGCTGGGTAGAAAGCCTGGTAGGGAAGATAGGAACAGAATGGACAAGAGATAGACCCTTGCAGTAGACAAATCGATGCCGCGTGGGTCCGAAGCTCGGCCTGTCGTGGGAGGCTTCGTTCGCTTTTGAGGGGACATTCCTTGAGACCTATTTTATGAGTGCCAGCATGTGCCAGCCCTGCATCCAAATGGGCAAGGGCAGTGGCAAGGGCCAGTGATCCGTATGATTCCCTATCTCATCCATTCTCATCCTATGTCCCAACATCTACACCAGGCCCATTGGAACCAAGCCACTCCAAACTCGGCCAGCAGCAGCCGGCCACCCCGCTTGGTCTTGCATGCCTGGCCATGAACCGAGGTCTTGCGATCGGTCGTGGGGCGCCGGCACGACTTCAAGCTCATCATCACCTCCGCCACCATGGATGCGGAGAAGTTCGCCAGGCCGAAACGCTGTGTCAACGACGTCAGCCCCGGCCCTTGGAGGGGGGGTTGGGAAGAGCTGGGGGGACTCGCTGCGAGACTCGCTGGGGTTTGCCGGTCGTTTTGACTGGCGGTTTAGCCGGCTTGGCCATTTTCGTGGCAATGTTTGGCCCAATCCACTCCAACACAAATGGTGAACCGAAGACAGTTTGGAAAATGTTTTATGTGTTCATAATTTTCCACTTGTAAGATTTGTAAGGCATGTGGCATTGATGTTGCTGTTGCGCGATATGCTTGGCGGTGGTAGAGCAGCCCGTGTTGGCGAGGTTCTTCGGAAATGTGCCAGTCTTCAATATCCCGGGCAGATGCCTCAGATCTGTGTGGACACCGCAGTTGACTGACGGGCCAATTATTTCTCAAAATGCATGAACCTCCTTGGAGTTGGTTGTGGCCTTCCTCTTCGAAATGTTATTCCCCGCCTTTTCTTGCGTAATGAGGGAGTTCCTGCCATGAAAGACTGCCTTGGATAGAGGTCTCCATACTTGACCAAGATATATAAATTGGGCGTTTTCAAGAAGGTCTTCAAAGGCATGCGCACAAACCGCATCAACAATGTTCTTTCCGCATAGACAATGTTCTTTCCGCAGCAACAATCTTGTTTAATACACATGTTAAATCTTTTGGATTAAAGGAATAACTTTCCGAACACTAAAAAAGAACTCCAAACAATTTTACAAAAAGTTTACAATGTTCTAAAGAACTTGTCAACTTTCATGTCCGAACACTGGCCGAACACTAATATAAAGCTACAAATTTCTCTTTGTAATTATAAATCACAACCGTTTGTCGCCCGAACACTAACCAAACACTAACATGTTTTGTAAACGTCTTTCCTTGTTTGAGCATTGTAACTTCTAGAAGAAGTTGCCAAAACTAGTTATGAAATAAAGTTGCTATGGCTGTGTTACGTATAGGCTTATTCCAGGTACAACCATCGCAGACCTTTTGAAAACACTCAATATATAAATATTCCAGGCATTGAGTCATACAGTTATCCTCCAGTCTAGATCTAGAATCAAACATAATAACATCATATGTTGCCGCTTCTCCTACTTGCTTTGGAAGCGTGGCTTAAGACCATCCATCCTCATAGCTGAAGACGGCTGGCTTCTCTCCCGCACACCCCCTCCGGCTTCTGGACAGCGCCCAGGACGAACGTTTCCAGATCGGCGCCAAGTGACGAAGGGGGGACCAAACCCAGGGGAGGTGTGGCTCGGCTCGCCGAGCTGGTGATGGAAGACACGAACACGCAGTTCCTCCCACAAGAAAAACAGAGTATCAACAGAACAAAGGCTGGACAGGTGTTTGTGCGGGATGTGTTTGTTTATGTTTTGTTTGTTTGCCCTGTTTGGTCTTGAAGGCCCGAGGTGACCTGACGGTTTATGAGGATTGACTAGGTCGAAGTGCCTCACCTTGTTCAGGATCACTCAGGCGTGTAGGTATATACACGATCAATCTTCCTATATGATATCAAAATATTTCAAAAGAGTCCTCCACCAATCCTTTTGAGTGGCTATTGGACCTTTAGCTACGTGGAACACTCAAAAACAGTTGCCCTCGAACATAGTGGCCAATTTACCTCAACAGCCACTTCTGGACGAAATACTCATTTCCTTCCGGACAGCAGGCACCAACACCAGCTTGTTGACTCTTCTAGCACGCAAGCCCTCACAAGTTTAGCACCTCAAGCTTTTGTTTATTGATCACTTCCCATTTCCTGGCATACGACACCTGCATGTTAGTTGACGTCCTCGGCTCACCAGAAAGGATTGCCACCTGCTGAGGTGGATACCCTTTATGCCCGAACGACGGCGCAGGCGTTCTTTTTTCACCTCCGACTGATCGATGACTTTTTCATCGCACCGCTCAGCTTCTTTCGTCGTGGTGGGGGAGGCGTGGAACTTTAGAGATTGAAACTGAAGTTTTAGAAAAGTACAGCCGCGAAGTGACATCGTGTCAACTTGTTGAACAAACATGTGTTGAAATCCGTTGGGATTCTAGACCGGGGGATTGTAGCAACTTACTCTGAAACAAACGTGGAAGTGGATGGCACCCTCTGTTTGTAGAGTAAAATTGTATTGCAGGAGGCCATTGTCCAGGAGTCCACTTCCATGTGATTGTTGGAGGGCCGGTAAAACAAAAAGTCGACTACTTAAATCATCCAATCGGTCACCAATAATTAGTCTACTCTACTACACTATTTGGGGACCACCATTGGGCACCCATTTGGTGACGAAGGGAGTTGTTTTGCCTTTCACTTGAGTGTAAATTAAAGGGTGCGAAGGGGCCTCTTTGACAAACATCCCAACCTCGTTGCACAATAGTGCGCATGGTGGGAGCGTATATATATACACAGATACTTTCTGATCGACACATGTCATTGGGCCGTTCAATCCACACAGCCGTTCAAGCCCCGCTCTTCCTGCGAGTGAGTGAGTATGCATCATGCAGACAACCAGCATGAACGCAGATGCTCAGTTTCTTCGCGTCATTTGCCAAAGAAGTTACGCTGCAAGAACAACAAGATTGAAACAACATATAGTCAGACGTGAACAGATTGGGTGAGGCATGCGGCAAACAGATGGATATAAGATTGAGTGCAAGCTGACATGTAGGTTAAACATTGCCGCCGCCTCTCTTTTCCTTTCCCTCAAGCACCAGCGTGAGGATTACGTGGATGCGGCCGTGCAGCAAGCCATTGCTATCCACGTGGGCCAGGGGGACTCAGATCACAGCCCACCGACGTTGAATGAGCTGCAAGAACATTATTAGGCATGCCCGCCAGTTGCAGCTATTTTAGCCCATTGACATGACAAGCACGGGCATCCCAGAACACGTTCACCCAGGACAAGCAGCTTCCCATGATTTGACATTTGACAATCCTAAGAAGTTGCTTCGGCGGCTTGTGTTTGGTCCTTGCCCTAAGTGTTGGGAGGGACTTCTTTCCAGTGCGCTTGTCCATTGCATTTGGCCTATCTTGGGCAGCAGAGACGCCCTTAATTGCTTGCTTTTGTTTGTTCTTTTGAGGGGGTTATCAAGCTCAAGTCGTAAGTTATCGTAAACTGGTAAACCATTTGCCGATCAAAACACGTTGCGACCATGATGGCTGGAGCTATCTTGCGATGCTTGCTTTGTTCGACAGGCTTCCTGTATGCATTCAGAACTCACTTGGGAGCACGTGCAGCACATGCACCGTCTCTTTCTCATGTCTTTTTGGTGTAGTCATGTAGAATGCTGATCATTGAAAACAAAACCTTTTGGATTGGAAAACCTCTTCAGCATTCAGCATGTTGTTCTGCATGAATGATCCGTCTACAAAACATCTACATGAGTGCAGGCATCTCCTTCTCAGGTGCTCAAGGCCAAGTCTGAAGGCCCCCCTGGCCCCAACCGACCTCGACCGTTCGATGGTGCTCTTGTGAAAAACCCCCAAGATCCCCGGTGAATGAGTGTCTATGGGGAGGGTGTTCACCGGGTATCTCAAAAGTAAGTTCATAAACAACCCACAGGAGGGTTTGAAGCTAAGTTTATGAACAACCCAAAGGATTTGTAGTGCGGGTTCCCAAAACTAAGTTCATAACAATTTGCAGGAGGGTTGGAAGATAAAAAACATTTTTTGTTGGAGAGTGGACGAAGCATGGCAAAGCAACAAGGAGCCTGCCAAAGGGGCTGGTAGGGCATCCAGAGATTCCCTTGGAATCTAGGTGTTAGAAGTTTGGATATTTTTGGGCCTTTGTCCCAGAGAACTGATGGAACATGATGGAACATTGAGTGTGGTCGGCATTTCCTGGTGATAAACATGAGACCAAATCATGTGATCGAACACTCGAAACGAACTGCATTTCCGTAATTTTGGTAAGACCTCTTGGTCAGTAGGACTGTTGGTTTCAAGGTCCTTTGACCCAGACCTGGCGGAGTTCAGCCTCTCACTTAGGCTTAAGTCTTTTGGGCTCAGCTTATTGGCGACCTGACGTGGATCCCTACGAGGCGTTGAACCTCTCGCGTGGCGGACGTTTAGACGCTGCGACACTGAAGCAGGCCTATCGGAAGGCCGCGTTGCGATGGCACCCGGACAAAGTACCTGAAGCAGCCTGGCTTTAAGCAGATTCGTATGTTTTGAGATTTTCCCCTCCCACCAAGGGACCTCTTGGCCCAAGCCGTTCGGTTTGGGGTTCTTTATTTGTTTTCTGGAATTTGTGGGTAGGAAGGTGATGGCTTGGTGGAAGAGACTGCCTCAGACTTGCCCCTGAAAAAGGCTTTGTTCCTGTTCTCACCAAACCCTTCGCAAGGGGGCTTGAAGCTCAGGCACAGAAGAAGGAAGCAGAGCAGCGGTTTATTGAAATCTCCTGGGCATACGAAGCCTTATTTGACCCTGTGCGGCGGAAGGACTACGACCAGCCCCGCAAGAAGCCGGAAGAGCCTTCATCTGGCCGATCTCAGGAAAAGCCCAGTAAAAGTGAGCAGAGGACAGACTTTGACATGGAGAAAGCTGCGAAAGTCTTCAAAGACGTTTTTGGCGACTTGGTGGTGGATGTGCGCCGATGTGGATATGTTGACCTCGTGAATGCCTGCCAAGAATCGGATAGAATCGGTCAGGAATCACAGCTGTTTGGGGGGGAAAGAGCAATGATTACACTCTGAATCACTCTGACCTTTAATTATATACTGACATCCCAATGAAATACGAGGATGTGCAAAACAATGTCAAGCAATTTTACTGTTCAAGTCAGGCTCCTGTCCTCCCTTTTCCATCCAAACTATCCCCAAACAGCTGGTCCCAGTTGTCGCAGTTACCCTTTGATTCCATTTCGCTCGTGTCGACTCATTGTATCAAATTGTGCACTTAGTGTCCGCCAATCTAGACAGTTGGTTCATAAATTGTACAATTCAATTGGGAGAGTTTGATGAATCGACAGTCTACATTTACATTAGGGGGTCCAAGCAGCTTGGGGTCATGTCACTCATTTCGTCTCAATCGGGCAAACCCTCTGGAAGCCCCATCATTAGGGGGTCCAAGCAGCTTGGGGTCTGACCAGAGCAGTTCAATGCTTGGCATCGTCGTCGACGCGAACCGTACTCCAGCCACGTCTGTCAGGCGACTCCAGTGCGGAGTATTTCGACCTCATCCAGCATCTCTCCAGGTCATCTTCTGGAGGCTCTGCAGAGCAGTGGAAGAACCATGCGAAAGCCATCAAGCAAGCAATGCAAGAGAGCCCTAGCCACTTAAAGATCAGACTTAGGAGATCAAAGATGGTTGTATGTGGAGAAAGATCCAGGGCCACAGGGTCCGCACTATATTGAAACTGGGGTGTTAGGCAAAAGCAACAGCATTCAGCTAAACATGTTGGGGCTTCTAAGATCTTGCTTTTTGATTCGGAGGAGCCCTGTGACCATGACAACTCAGGAAGGGGAAGAGCTTCTCTGTGGAGACCTCTTCGGAGGATGGGCTTGAAAGGATGGCAACAAGCCAGTCCGTGGATGATGATGGCAAGGGCACCACGAAGCCTGGGCTGCTTTAGCTGACTCTCTTGGTCAAATCACTCGGGGTTTAAGCCACTGTGCTTGCCGCAAGGATGCTAAAGCTTCCAGCAAACTGAGTTCAGTCCTCAAAACCGCTGCACTGCCGATGAACTATAACTACCCACCTTTTGAGATAAAAGCATTGAGTCGGGGAGAACAACACGCAAACACGTAGGAGCCAGCAGTTCAGTCCTCCAAGCGGTTTCGGATCAGCTGTTCCAAGAACACGTCCATCAAGTTTCATGGGGGAGATGGTTTTCCTTCCGGCCCGCGCAAGGAAGAAGTCCATTACCACGGTCCACACCCAGACCTCAAACCACGTCAATGCCCACCAAGCGGCGGATGCACATCAGAAAGCCATGGCCATGCACCGGTCGCGGTCGTCCGATGCGATCGCCCACCAAGCGGCTTTGGATGCACATGCGAGGGCCATGGCCAAACATCAGGCGGCACATGAGGCTGCAATGAAGGCTGCAGGCCTGAACATGGCTGCCTTCCCAAAGACCGAGCTCTGAGGAAAAAGAGGTTCTGAGGGGATCGAACTTCTGTCGGACGGTCCAGGAAACCCATCCAGATGAGCGGACTTGACCAGCGAGAGCGTGCCGGTTTGTACTTCAACTGGCGAGAGCGGGACAGTGACAGGACTGAAGTCGTCAGTGTTCTTTTGGTATGCAAGAGCTACAAAGAATCTTCGGACTAAAGAATTGTTTACGGTGGAGAGCGGCTCTTTCTTTCCGCCGAGCCCTTTCTTTCGACAGACTGTCCGATACTAACGCGCGAGTAAGGGTCCTTGTTGAAGGGTCTATTTGTATAGGGATTTTCAACCACATCTTCAGACTTCTGGGTGTGTTTGTATCGCTTTGTGTCCGATTTCGACGCATGAGCCGAGGCCAGGATTCGGGCGACGCAGGGTGGCCTAAGCACCGTGGTGGGGTGTTCTTTCATTCTATCATATTCTAGCTCAAGCTTCCGAGTTTGCTCAAAACTCCTGATGCGTTTAGTATGACATTAGGAAAGCCCTTTTCACCTCTTTTGCTGAGGTGCTGATCTTCATGACGGGACAAGAAGACATCGAGGCGAGGATGGCAACTGATGCTGTCCTACTGCTTGCAGCAAGCAATGAGCTGGGACTGCTTGTTGCAAGTCACTTCCCACCGATGGTCACCTTTTGAACCCTGCTCAGTGACGTGCAGCGACCGTTCACCAATGGAACAAGTTCTTGACTATGTTCGAATTGAAGCGTTGGGTACTACTCCCCAAGCTAACGTTGTTAACATGTTGCATCCACCTGGCCAACGAGAATGATCGATGCCTTAGCAACCCACCTTTGACGTTCGGCCAACTGGCCCTTTTCCCTTCTCCTTCTAGCTTTTTAGCAGTTGTTTTGTCAATGGCAGGTCAGGTCATGGCAGATCCACGACTTCAGTCACTAGATGTTTCCAGATCACATGATCACCCCACCTTAGGTCAATCACAGGGTCCATGGGCTTCGGCTTGGCACATCAGCCCGGATTGTTCAGGCGACCTGTGTGCTCTTGGCTGACCGGATTGCTCAGGCCATGGGTATGGCTAAGGGCTCAGGTTGGCAGAAGATGGCGAACCCACTTCTTAGGAGTGGAGCCTAGAAACGGTGGGCCCCGTGGTCAACTCAGCCTACCAGCACCCTCCAACAGGCTGTTTGGGGGCCATAACTGGATTTTCGCGCACCTGTTGTCACCAGGAAACACCTGGAGGTACAGAGAAACCTCACTTTCACCTATGAGAAGACTTGGGTTCGACTCGGCGGCGACTTTTTGGGAGGACGTCTTCGTTCGGAAACCCATGGGTTTCAAGCGAAACATCCAAACAGAGTCCTTAGTCGGGATGCACCCCCAAAAAGGCTTTAGTCTTGTATTCCGTGGAGTTTCATTGGGTAGACACAGCCTTAGCAGCCTTAGCAATCAGGTGAAGTGGCTCTTCCGGTCGGTTGACTTCCGCATACTTCCACCCAAATCCTCCAACTGAGGAATCCTCATGTTCATTTTCCTCGCCGCCTCATCCGCTACTTAACTGCTCGTCACCGGCGCATCAATCAATGTGATGCAGGTGGGGGAAGAAGTGCCTCCTGTCACGATCTTGCCCATCTATTCGCAGTTGCCATCGGACTTGCAGGCCCCGTCGGGCGCCAGTCTTCTCGGACGTGGGTTTTTGATGGTTTTTGCGGCGCCCCGTAGCAGCGGCTTTATGTGCTGTGTTGGTGCTGTCCATGTTGGAACGAAGAGTTTGTGGTCACTCATCCAGTAGATAGTACAGGTATGACATGTAATTACAAGCAATTCTAAGTGGCTAGTCGAGTCATGTGTGCCGGATATACGTACACTGTAGTAATATACGGCCAAGATACGGTTACACTCCCGAAAACTAACATGGACCCTGAGAATGGCAACCTGATGCAACCTGGAAGACTGTGTTCCTCTACCAACTAGTGGTTTTCAATGGGTTTTCAGGGTCCATGTAAGTTTTCCACGGAGTATTTCATGTTTATTGTTAGAGATCATCCTTCAAGGCTTTGCGATACGGCTTGGGTTTGGTAGGCTTGGGAATGGGGAGGCTACATGACATGTCCACGTGGTGTTCACCCCTTTTTGGACCTTACAAAGGCTTCTCAATTGATGTCCACAAGTATATAACTAAGTTTAGTCTATTGGAGAGCCTTTTCGATATCAGGTGCTGGTTCATGTTATATATCTTCTCTATGTCTACAGGGTTTCTTTTCGCGGCGAGTCATGTGAAACTCGTGGGTGTTGCCATGCTCCTTTCTGGGGGATCCATGGTCCACGGCATCCGGACCCGGCTTCAGAACCTCTTCGGGAACGATGTGCTGAACAGGAGACGTGTCGTTTCTCCTGTTTGGTTTTGGAACCCCTGGGTCTTGCAGTGGCTTCAGCAAGTTTAGAGATTTCCGCTGTTACAAGTTTCATCTCAATGAAGCAACAAAACCTGATTCACCCAACAAGGTCGCAGTGGGAGAAAAAGAACACGCAATGAAACAAAACGATGTCTCCATATCATCCACATCCACCGAGCTTTCGATGGTCCACTTAGTACTGGTATACTTAGTCAGAGCATCTTTGGAGCCATTTCTGGGCGAAGAACATTTCGGGGAACCATCCAAGAAGCTGCATGGTCATAGATCTGGATGCAACAACCAGTTGTTTTTAAATTAAAAGAACAACACCATGAATCGGAATTGAATCTCATTTTAAGCCAGATTTCCAGGCGAAGATCTTCGAGAGCAGCGACAAGCGCAAGATCATCGTGGCAGCTGGGAATGGGGAACACGCCGCGTTTCACGGGTGCTGTGAAAGGGAGATTGGCAAAACCCACTTGCCAAATTCTGACTCAGGAAGATCCCTAGAGAATCCACAAATCAGTGCTCCAGTTGAAAGCGATGCAGGCATTGAAAGCGAGGCTTGGGCGGTTCCAGGTGCCAACAGTGCCAAGAAGCGATGCCGTGCAGCTTCCTAAATTGAAGTCATTGAATTCTGCGAAGGAGTCATAGGTGGGAGGCCCAAACCTACTTGGATCACCCACCTGGCAAACATTGGTCCTCCTTGCAGCAGGTTTGAAACACTCCCAGCTCAACTTTTAGGTAACTAGCATGAACAGGTCATTCAAACATCAGGAGCGGCATATCCACACTTGGGCGATGTGGTATACGGCGTATAGTATATGGTATGCTGGTTGAGGTTTCCGTGCGCTGAAGCACGACCGTCTCCCTGCAGTCCCGCCGAACCCGCCCATCATCGCAGAGCATCCAAGGCCACCAACATCGCTGAGACCTCGCTGACGGTGGATGGCATCAAGTATGTCATCGACACAGGTGTGGAAGGGGCGTTTTCGATTTACGGCCATTTGGAGAGGCCTCTTGAGCCCATTGGTGTTGGTGGGTTTAGGATGTCCTGCTGAGTGGCCTGGTAGCCCAGGCTACTGCAAGTTGAAGATCTACAACCCCAAGATGGGCCTGGAGACCCGATGCGCTTTGGGCAGGGGTGGAGGTCGAGAGGAGATTTTAGGAGAGAAGGAGCGCAGTTGAAGGCATCTTGAGAATTTCGGAGAACCTTTTGAGCATCTTGAGCTATATAATTTGTATAGTGGATGTAGTGGGTTGGCAAAGGTCATTCAGAAACGAGTCGTATGCCAGGACCTTCCGAGTGACCTTCTTGGAGCCCCTAGGTGGGGACCTTTAGTGGCCTAAGTGACCTCAAACTAGGAGATCAAACGATATCAAAAGGTCACTGGGAAGATCCAGGTGAAGGGTCTTTGCCTTCCCGTGTGGCACTGCCAAGGCAAGATAAGTCTTGGAGCATCCCATGTGGCTGAGTGAATTGTGTGAGTCTCGTCCTGCATCACTGAGGAATGGACAGCTTGCAAGTGACGCCCATCTCGCAGGCCAATGCTGGAACCTTAGCACACCAACAGAGGATGTTTCGAACCCTAGTTCTAGTTCGACCGTCGTATAAGGTCACTCAACCATTGTTTGGCACGACCCCACAGAGCTGCGGTGCTGCGCAAAAAACGGAATCGCCCCCCAAGAAAGACCACATCAAGTCCCTCAGTTCGAACATCGTCCTGGCTCAGACGGCTTTTTCGGGCGATTTGAAGGAGACCGGAACGTCCCTTCAGACTCCCAACAACCGCACACAGGAACAGAGACACGGTCCCCCAAGGCAGGCCCTCCGAGATGATATTAATACGGTCAATCAATTTGTTTCTCACCTGACCCGCGAGATCCCACGATCAAACCCGCTCAAGGCCCGTTTTGTTTTTAAATGTTGAAGAAGAATTAAGTCAACATAAGTCAACTATAGGAGGTTTTCAGCGCTCCATAGTCTTGCTCACGAAGCGAGTTCGATCACTTGATCGACCCGATGAGGCGAACCAGCGCCGCGGTCGTGCCGGCCGCACTGGGCCTGGCGCGCTGGGGCGCCCAGGGCAGGCAGTGCATGGGGGTTTCAGGATGTTTTATGTAAACATATGTATGTTTTAGTTCCATTCTCACGAACAAGTGGTGTGCACACTATAGTATCTATAGCGCCTGAGTCTGCAAAACCGCTTGTTTTGTTTTAAATGCAATCCTGTCCTGCAAGGCTTGCGACTTTTTAGAGGAAACATGTCTGGTTTGAGATACTTGTACCGTCTCGAGTTTGGTAGCACTTGCAGGTATTGCATGTATATCATGTCATTCATTGGTCAATATCTCACATACGCCACTTGTATAGCTCGATGTTTGGTGGGTGATATGTGTGTGTGTGTGTGTGTGTGTCACCATCTGTTTCTAAGGTTTCCACACGTTACAAATTAAGCAGTTTCCCTTAGGGCTTAAAAAGAGGCAGGGGACCAGGCGGGATGCATCGTCGCCTGGTCAACGAAGCTGGCGATGTGTCCGAGGATATGGAAATGGGACGCCATTTCCACGTACCTGCTGAAAACTTTTGTTTACGCTGTGACTCCACTTCTCCTTTTTGGTTCCATGGTGGTTCTGCGGGCTATATCCCAAAACAGGCTTCTATGCACGGCGACAATTCGATTGGCTATGTAATCAGTAACTAGAATCTGCAGTCAAGCAGCATGAGCACTTGTTCAACATTTCTCATGTGCTGACCACTTCACCCTGCGCTTCCCTCATCCATGTTTTCGCGGAATAGAGGTAACTGAAAACCAATTGTCAAAGTGTGTGCCGCTCTGTCTGTTGTCCCACTGGGTGCAGGGTGTGATCTCCCGCAAGGGAGCGCCGAAACCATCGTGGATCACAGTTTGATTCAGCGTTTTTCTGCACGCGTTGGAATATCACATACTGGCTTACTGCTTCACCCCATGAGTCCATGAGTCTTCTGAATACACAACTGCCGAGTTTACGGAGACTTGACGCCGCCGGGCTTACGGATTTTTGCATCAGCAGTGTTCTCGAGGTTCCAGAGAATTTTTGCTCAAGGCTTTTAGGTTTCGGGTGAAGCTTTAGTCAAGGGAGCGCCATTTACGGCAGTGCCTTAGAGCCACACACCCCCACACCCCGCCTTGCACGCGAATTCGCACTTCTTATCCCACCCTCTAATTAGGGTAACAGAAGGAAGTCGCACTCAACACACTTGTGTGTTGGTGCCTTTCCTTCTGTTTCTCCTGTCCTGGTCTTTCCTACCCGGGCGGTCTAAGACTAAAGTCCCGCTCGCTAACTATTGCACCTAATTCATTCGGCTAAGTAGTCAGTAACTAGAAGGTTTCATAACTAGTGGGCCTCGTAACTACTCCTATCTTTTTCTCTTGCCCTCTTCGTTTGCTCTTTCTGTCTTTTCCTTTCCTTTCTTTCTAAGGCTTGTTAGGTGGCTAGTAAATCTCTGGAGCGCCGATATCGGCTCTGTGTGTGTCACCATCTGTTCCTAAGGTTTCCACACGTTGCAAATTAATATAAATTAATCAAATTCCCTTAGGGCTTAAAAAGGGGCAGGGGACCAGGCAGGATGCATCGTCGCCTGGTCAACGAAGCTGGCGATGTATCCGAGGATATGAAAATGGGACGCCATTTCCACGTACCTGCTGAACACTTTTGTTTACGCTGTGGCTCCACTCTTCCTTTTGGTTCCATGGTGGTGGCTGCAGTTATGCATCAGGCATGCATTGCTTACGAATTAACAGCTCTGCATGCTATATCCCAAAACAGGTTTCTATGCACGGCGATGATTCGATCGGCTACGTATTCAGTAACTAGAATCCGCAGTCACGCAGCATGAACACTTGTTCAACATTTCACACGTGCTGACCGCTTCACCTTGCGTTTCCCTCATCCATTTTTCGTGGAATAGAGGTAACTGAAAACCAATTGTCAAAGTGTGTTGGGTTGTGGTCTGAACCTGGGAGATCAAGAGTTCTAGGCCAGGGGGCTTCTTTGTTTAAAGAACAGGTGCCGACATTGTGCAAATATGCCCGAAGCGCCTATAACTTGTGTTTGTGTTCTGTTTATGCGATTTGTGATGCTTCATCAACCTCAAACCTCCCGTTTTCATTCAAAACCGTATGCAAAGTCTTTGGGGTTTGTGTGATGGCGCCGCTCAGGTGCTGGCGTCTCTACACTGAAAGCGCCTACGTCTCGGAGATGCTCACCATGACCATCCCTGAAATTCAGCGCACGGTGGCCCAAGCGCAGCGTGGAGCACGGCCTTGTTTAGGTGCACCGGGCCCAGGTCTGGAGTAATTAGATCGGCTCGAGGTCACCTGAGGGCCGTCGGAAACGACCCCGTTTTGGGCCAATGGTGCTTATACCAAGCGCCCTTTCGGCACAACTGTGAAGAATCTCAATCTGTGAATTTGGGTCGATATATGTCTGGTGTACAGACTGTGCCATGCGGTGCCATGTTCGCACATCACGACCACAGACAGCTTGCCATGGTTTCTTCAATGTGTGATTCACCACGTTTTTTCGCCACTCGACGGGCCAGGTCGTCCGCCGAAACTGGACTGTTCAGGCACCAACTTGGCGAACGTGGTGCTTCTCTTGAAGTCCATGGGCGCTCCTTGGTCCACGGAGCGTGCCACGACGGGTGACAGGATGGGTGTTTTCCTTCTCCGCTTGGGGGTTCCGGCAAATTTGGGTTTGGGATCCGGTTACGGGATCCGCATGATGTTGGGCTGTATCATGGAGACGGTTGGCAGTAGAATCCATGCACAGCAGACGCACATTGACCCCTGAAACCATCCCCAGAAGTACCCCCAGATATTTATAGGTATATATATATATGCCATACGAGGAGGAATGTTTGGGAGTTATGAGTTCATTTTGTTTTTCCTGAAGGCATGCCTTAAGTGCAGCATGCTTGGAGTTGAACACGCACACACTCTGACACTTGTATTCAGTGAACTCAGTTACCACGTTGGGAAGGATGGCGGTGGAACAGCATGGCGAAAAGTCCGAGAAAATTGTTTCCCTTGACTGCGGTGACGAAGCGGCTCAAGCTGCAGCGCTG